TAGCACAGGAGGAGACTGTACATCTTTCTCCCATGTAACAAATGCTGGATTTGAACCATATACCTTTGGGATTACAGCATAATTCCTAACCATTGGGCCACAAGAGCATTAATGTTAATGAATGTTATAAAAATGTATATGAATAATTCAATGAAATTGTATTTACAATGAATGACTCAATGAAATTGTAACTATAATGTTATAAATAAAAATGTAAATGAATGGAAACCCCATACAGTATATAAACTCTCATTCAAAGAAAAAAGTTTTTGAAAAGGGGGAATAACTTCCACATGTACTTTTTTACTATTCCTACTAAGGTGCACCTAATCCAGGCCATGGTCTTTGCAATTACTAGCTATGCATAAAAGAGCTGGACAATGACTAAGGATGACAGAAGAATTGATGATTTTTTAGTGTAGTGCTGGAGAAGAGTACTGAACATCCCATGTACTGCCAAGAGAACTAGCAGGTTTGTCCTGAGAGAATGAATCCAAGTTGTCCCTTGGAAGCAAGGATTTTGAAGTTCTGTCTCACACACTTTGAGCATGTAGCCAGGAGGGTCTAGTCTTTGAAGAAGGATTATCATGCTTGAAAGGACTGAGGGACAGTGCAGGAGAGGGAGATCCCAGATAAGATGGATTGACAAAATAATTAGGGTAATGAGGGTAGGTGTGGTGGAGACAGTGAGATTGGTGCAGGATACAGGAGGGTTCAGAGCTATTGTGCATAGGGTTGTGATAAATTGTAGTTAACTCAGTTAGCACATAACAACACCCCTTCTAGACATGCTTTAGCTATGCACTGAACAGCCCTTTATATTGTTATCAGAATGTAAAAGACAGAGGTCATTTGATTATACACACACACACACCTCCCTCCTGCCCATTTCTTCTATTTTTCTGGGTCTAATTTTTTTTTCATTGTTGAAGCACATCCCTTAATACTTTCTTTAATACGGGATTGTGGATAGAACTTTCATATGTCTGAAATGTTTCTACTGTGTTCATGCTGGAATGATAGTTTTTAGTAAGTTATAAATTCTGTGTTGACAGTAATTTCTCTTCAGCACTTTAAATGTTACCATTCCTTCTGGCTTGTATTTTTGCTGATGAGACATCTATTGTCAGTTTGCTTTTGTTCTTTAAAGGGCAATCTTTTTTTTTTAATTGTAGCTTTGAAGATTTTTACCTTTAATCTGGTATTTTATACTCTCACTTTTAATTTAACCTCTTTTGATGCATACGCATTAATACTGCTTGATACCTGGAGCTAAGGACAGACAGGATTTTCTTCAATTTTGCAAAATTATAGCATATATCTTTTCAAATAACATTTCAATGATTTTTTTCTTTGCAAGATTTCATAATACTTTTCAAAAATATCCACTTTTTCTAATGTCAGATTTTCCATTTTTTTCATGTTGTGGCATGTGTCACAACTTCATTTCTTTATAAAGGCTGAATCCCATTGATTGTATTGCTCTCTCACTGATACAATACTGTAAATCTTAACAAGAGGAGGAGGACACGGGGAGCAAAAACTGTCCATTTTTCTTCCTCAGAGTTTCTCATGATTTTGAACCACCAAAGATGTGCATTTGTTTGTTTAGCTGCTCAACTCTTTGCTGGCTAAGCCATGTGTTAAACTGGGGAAATCTGCTGTCAATGACTTATTTAAAATGCTAAAAACATCAGTTTTAAAGACTAAGATGTTTCAGACCCAAATCATAGTATTTGCTGTTGCTTCATGTGGACAATGAGCAGGAGGATTGAAGAACTGATACCTTTAAACTGAAGTATTGGCAATGCGTATTGAATGTATATATCACAGACTTGCAAAAGAACAAATAAATCTATCTTGGAGGGAGTGCACCTGAAGTGCCCTTTGGAGGCAAGGGTGGTAAAATTTAATTTCATATACTTTGAGCACGTTGTCAAGTGGGCGAGCCCTTGGAAAAAGATATCAGGCAGGCCAGGAAAAATGGATAATGAATGAAACAGAGAAAGATACTAAATGAGACAGATTGACATGGGACTGCAACAGTGGGCATGAGCATGGCCAAGATCTTAAGGATGGGAATTGGACAAGGTTTCAATCTTTTTCACAGGGTACCTATGAACTGGAGTCAACTATAGCACCTACCACCACTAAAACAGAATGAATACACAACATTTTATTTATCCATTCATCAATTAATGGACTCCTGCATTTCTTTTGCTGCCATGTTTGTGTAGAAGTTTTTGTGAGAATATACATTTTTTTATATATACCTAGAAGTAGACTGGCTGAGTTCTATGGTAACTGTATGTTTTATATGAGGAACTGCCTATATGTGTGCTTAATTCAGGCCACACTTTTTGCAATTACTTGCTATGTGTCAGAAAGTTGGACAATGACTAGGGATGATAGAAGGAAAATTGATGCCTTTGAGCTGTGGTGCTGGAGAAGAGTACTGCATATACCATGAACTGCTAGGAGAACACACAGGTCCATCTTGGAGAGAGTGAAAGCTTGGAGGCAAGGATTCTGAAGCTTCATCTGACATAATTTGGACATGTTGCAAGGAAGGACCAGTCCTTGGAGAGGGAAGTCATGCTTGGGAGGGTGCACGGACAGTACAGGAGAGGAAGACCCTCGATGAGATGGATTGATTAATGGGGCTAAGTGTGCCTTGACAATAAGAGTGGCACAGGATAGAGGAGGGTTTAGAGCTGTTGTCCATAGGATCACTATGAGTTGCAAGAAACTCAAGAGCACATAACATCAACAACCACCACCTTCATTATACATTCTCACCAGTAATGTATGAGCATTTCTGTTTTTCCAACATATCACCAGCACTTGGTTATAGTTCACCTTTTGGATAATTGCCATCCTAGTGAATGTGATTTAATCTCGCATTGTGGTTTTTATTTGCATCCCATATAGAAAAGTGGAGGGTCAGTGAAGGAGAAGATGACGAATTGATACAGTGACTTTATTAGTGGGCTCAAGTATGTCAGAGATGATGAAGATACCAGAGAAGAGAGAAGGCTTCAGATCCATTGCTCATGGGCTTGCTATGAGTCATAGATAGTTTCACTTAACAGCAACAAGAAAAATACAATAATGCTGGGGCTCTTTTAATATACTCACTGTAATTTGCGTATCTTCTTTGGAGAATTGTCCTACTATAGTTTTGTTCATGCAGTCTGGTTTCAGGCTCATACCTTTCACTGTCTCTCATGCTTTTTTGTAGGGATTTCTGCATCCAGCCCCCTGGCCTGTGGTCCACCATCAAAAGGTCTTACAATGACGTCTGATGTCCCGCTGTGAAGTCAGATTTTCACAGACCCAAACGGGGAGATATTGGGCAGGCTGACTCAATTCTTGCTTAGCAGGTTTTGCCCTCTTTTGCCCTTATTACTATGGGAATGATTTACTCCAGGGCGCTGACTCTACTACCAGTTAAATTACCATTCTTGCAGCTTCCTTTTGGAAGTGGGGTGACCGAACCTAGCCTTTGGCTTCAAACAGTGATCACTTTCCATTCTCTTATCTTGCACTATGCATTTTTAGACCCTTTATTGGCAGGGCTCAGCTCCTGGCAGCTACTGCCTGTGTTTGGATCAGAGCCTAGCAGTTGCTCCCACTCCACTCAATATTCTATTCATGCTCCTAAATGTTGATCTTGGTTTTGAGCCCATCTATCCATTTTTATATCTTTTTATTTTATCTTTCATAGTTACATGCATCAAGAAGAGAGAGGGCTTTGAAGTGTTGCATTCACTTTATCTTATTTTCCAGAAGACTGTATTTTAGTACAAAATCAGTCTTGAGACAAATGATGAGTCAGCGTTGGTTGGATAAAATGTTACACAAGGTGAACCTGCAACACCAAATTGCCTCCAAATGAGGCTGAACTGGATATACTCTTTTCGCTAACAGCACAGATCATCAACAATAAGGCCCACTGGTCTCTTTCCTATGATCTAGGACTAAAAAAGTATTTTTCTAGTTTGGACTTTAAATTATAAAAGAAAGATGTGAGAGAGAAAAGTTGCTATGCATGCTAAAACAGGAGACATATTTTCCGTAAGGCAACTTGTGATACTGGATTTATCCTTCAGGCTGTGCTCAGTGTTATGATTACCTAATGCTGCTGTAACTTCCACAAGTGCAAGACTCTACTAAACAGAAATTTAATCTCACACAGTTTAGCAGACTAAGAATTCAAATCCAGGGTATCACTGGCTCTAACTTGAGGCTTCTTCTCTGTGTCTGTTCTATAGATAAGTTCTTATCTCCATTTAGTATCTGTCAGCCCAGCATTCCTTGCAGATCTCCCCCTGGTTTTGCAATGATCACTTCTTGAATCTAGGAGGTTTATCATTGAGAGACTCTGGTTCCAAAGGATGCACTCTACTCCTGTCTCCTCTTTCTTAGTGGTGGTATTGAGGTCCCTTTCTTCCTGCTCAGTAAGATAAAAGGTGTTGCAGGACACACCTCAAGGGAAGTTGCTTTACATTGGACCAGGGCTTTGATGGAACATGGGGGATCAATACATCGCAGCCACATTATATGATCACATACCAAATTGGGAATCATGACCCAGTCAAGGAAACACATATTTTTTTAAGACACAATTAATTTATCTCACTCAGTTATAGCATATTTGATATAAATAGTAGATTATTGTCCTGAGTGGGCAACATAAAGGTGATTACTTTTACATCAGCGCCTGGAGGGCAAGATAGTATCAGCACTGGAACCCTCTCCTAACTGAAGAAACATCTAGAGTTCCTGAAAGCAAGGACAAAGACACAAGGAAGTACCAGAATCACTGTTGCAGTTGCCTGCACCACCAACTGTCATGGAGACTTTTGTCTGTGGATACTTCTGAGTCACTCTGATTCCCTGGGATACACAACATCAGACTGATCTGGTGGCAATTTTTGTGAAGAAAGGACTGGAAGTTAAAGGGACCACTTGTTTCAAGAAAAGGAAAACAATTCAAAATGGCAGAACAAGAACCAAAGAAGATTGTCAAGGAATCCAAACATGGTGACAGACACAATGAAGATGATGAGCTGATCTTTGTTGGGGTGGATCACGTAAACCGAGATGATGACGTTTACTTTGTCAGGGTGATTTCAAATCCAACACCAGGCAATTCAAACATTTTAAACAGAGCTACTCTAAGTCCATACTCTAAAAGGAAGAGAGCCTATCCATTTAGAGGTACCACACATGAGCAATTGCCTAAACATTGCAGGACTTCTTTGTCGGAAGAGGTGGTCACTTGGCCAGCCTTTCAGCCAGCACTAAGGTCAACGGACAAGCCTATTATTGATTGTTCATCCACAACTGGCTGCAAAGAGTCACTGCCACACATTGTGTCTTATTGTTCTTTGAATTTTCTCTCCCTGTATTCTCAGCAAACTGCTGATGATGTGAGTAGGGCTGATGTTTCAAAGCAACTTTCCTCTACTGATACATACAGTGGAAATCCCCACAGTATGACACTCAGGGATAAAATTCCGTTAAGTATCTCTTTGACAGTGAACACGAGCATACCCTCTGAAGGTGCTCACCCTTCATCAAGTCGTGGTCAAAATGCTGCATCATTTCCTCCACCTTATTTAAATGACAAGGCACATCTTCATCTTCAAAATCCAGTTATTGAAAATAACGTAGAAAGACTGGCAGAAACAGATTTGCCAATAATAGCAAATCAACATAAGACCTCTGATTTCCAGTATGAATACCTGAGGGTGCTGCTTTGTGACTTCTACTATGGGCAGCTTGAGGGCCACAGGAGGCCAGAACAGAAGACCCATACAACCTTTAAGTGCCTCAGCTGCCTGAAAGTTCTGAAGAACATCAAGTTTATGAACCACATGAAGCATCATTTGGAATATGAGAGGCAGAGGGGTGACAGCTGGGAAAGTCACACCAACTGCCAGCACTGCTACAGGCGGTTCCCCATACCTTTTGAGCTGCAGTGCCATGTGAACAGTGTGCACAGCTCCCAGGAGCCCTCCTTTGTGTGTAAGATCTGTGAGCTGTCGTTTGTCACAGATCAGGCTCTCCTCCAGCACATGAAGAACACACATAAGCCCAAGGAGATGCCCTATGAGTGCCAGGTGTGTGGTTACATGTCATCAGTCTTCATTGATGTGGAAACCCATTTCAGAGCCTGCCATGAGAACACCAAGAGCTTGCTCTGCCCTTTCTGCCTCAAAGTTTTCAAGGTTGCAACACCATATACGAATCATATCTGGAAGCACTGGACGAAAACAGCCTTTTGGTGTTCCAAATGTCGCCTGCAGTTTTTGACCTTGAGGGAAAAATTTCATCATGAAACCAAAAACCATTCAATAATTTTAAACCCAGAGAAATAAGGAATGATACCATTCAACAAAAAGGTTATAATGAATAATCTTCTGAGTATCAAAGGGTGCAGCATCCACTTTTGTGAGTCACAGTGACCTCTGGATATTATCTGAGAGAACAAAAAGACAGCAGTTATGAGGTCTAGATATAGTAGACTCACAGCTACACCTGCTTACAGGGACTCTTAAAGAAAAAAGGAAACCGACATAAATGAGACTTGGTCATCCTTACGCCTTAGCTGATTCTAACAAGCATCATCATCTGATGTAGTTTTTCCTGTGACAATTCTTTAGCTTTCCACCCCCAATCCATTCCAACACCTGTGGGCCAACCTGCATCTACTATTCTGTTTTATGTGAGCACAGAATACTTTTGCCTGTTTTTGTACTTTAAATAAATTGATCATATAATGGATTCTTTTAAAAAAAAAAAAGGTGATTACTTTTACTCTTCACTCTCCTTCACCCTAATAGATTCAAATAGAGCTTTTTTTTTAATTAATTTAGTTTGTTTATTTTTCATTTCAATGAACATCTACAGAGATTTTGGAATTCCATTCATTCATTGTTGCACCCTTCTCCCCGCACAAACCCCTCCGCCCTCCCCCACCCCGTTTGCTCCTCTCCTTGAAAAGCAAAAGAAAAACTCCCTCATTGGTACACAATCCCCCCGCACCTCCCCAAACCCCACGCCCTACCCCAAAATATAATCCTTTTTGTTGGCTCCAAAAGGTTCTACACTGAAGCTGATTACCCAACTTTGCTCCCAAACTGATAGAGAAAAAAAAAATTATCTTTGGTGACCTAAGAACAACATAGCAAGAAATGGATCCCCCAAACCTACTCCCCATGTCTCACTCAGAAAGACCAGGGATAGGTTATCATTTACTGACTACAACTTACGGAATACTTAATTATATTCTGATGGCATAGTTTATAGGGAGTTTTGCTACTAATCCAAAGACAGAACCTCTCTGGCTATTTCAATCCATCAGCAGCTCCATGAGGGAGATAGACGGTTTTTTTTTTTCAAGTGACTGTCAGCCTCAGAAACTCAGTGGAGTGT